ATTTCCCCCCCCCCCCCCCACTGTTACTCACACCTTCTTGTCAACTGTTGGAAATGGGCCATCCTGATTATCACTACAAACGTTTTTTTTCTCCTGCTAATAACAACCCACCTTAACTGATTACTCTCGTTACAGTTACTATGGCAACACCCATTTTTTTATGTCATCTGTGTCTATATATCTTCCTACTGTATTTTCCACTGCATGCATCCAATGAAGTGGGTTTTAGCCCATGAAAGCTTATGCTCAAATAAATTTGTTAGTCTCTAAAGTGCCACAAGTACTCCTCATTCTTTTTGCTGATACAGACTAACATGGCTACCACTCTGAAACCTGAATATTGTTGTGATTTTTGCTGTAAGAGACCATCTATCACAAAGACAAGCTTGCCTGGGTGGCAAGATAGACTGGAGTGCCCAATGTGACGGTCTGTGACTCCAGGATAAGGCTGTTATAGAGCTTGTGGAGTTCACTCTTGTTACTTGGTTGGTGAAACCTAATTATGGAACATACAACCAATTTAGGGTTTGTGCCCTACTTCTTGACAGTCTGCCCGGAGCCAGGCATGCACAGACATGAGCCAGTTGAGGTAGCCTGACATGGTTCTTGGCCCTACACTATTTAACATTTTTATCAATGACCTGGAACAAAATTATCACTGACAAAGTTTGCAGGTGACACAAACATTTGGGGAAATATAAATAATAAAAAGGGCTGGTCACATATACTGAATTGGTTGGTAAGCTGGATGCAAGCAATGTGTGTTTCAATTCCAAATAGGAATGTATATACCTAGGAACAAAGAACATAAGCCACATCTACAAGATGGGTGACTCTACTGGGAAGCAGCGACTCTGAGAACGATTGGGGGATTATGGGGGGATAATCAGCTGAACGGGCGCTTCCTGTGCGAGGCTATGGCCAAAAGGGTTAACACAACCCTTGGATGCACTAACAGGGGAATTTCAAGCAGGAGTAGAGAGGTTTTATTACCTCTGTATTTGGCATTGGTGGTACCCCTACGGAAATACTGTGTCCATTTCTAATGTCCTCATTTCAAGAAAGATATCAATAAATTAGAGAGGGTTCAAAGAAAAGCCATGAGGATGGTTAAAGGATTGGAAAACATGCCTTATAGTGATAGACTCTAGCTCAACCTATTCAGTTTCTCACAGAGAAAGTTAAGGGTGACTTGATCACAGTTTATAAGTACCTACATGGGGAATAGAAATTTGATAATACAGGGCTCTTCAGCTTAACTGACAAAGGTACAAGATCCAGTGGCTGGAAGTTGAAGTTAGACAATTTCAGACTGGAAACGAAGGTGGCAAATTTTTGATAGTGAGAGTAATTAATCATTGGAACAATTTACCAGTGGTCATGGTGGATTCTCTATCACTGACTATTTTAAAATCAAGATTGGATGTTTTTCTAAAATAGATGCTGTAGTTCAAACAGGAAGTATTTTGGGGCAGTTCTCTGGCCTGTGTTAGGAGATCAGACTAGATGATAATAGTGGTCCCTTCTGGCCTTAGAATCTAGGACTCCTCACTAGCCCATTCGATCTTACAGGCTTGTGCCCCTGCATCACTACCCTGCACTTTCTCTTGCATGTATCGGTGCAAAGGATCCCTTTCCATCACTCCCCTCTGAGTATATTCCTAGCCTATGCATCCCAACCTCCTCCAGTCTGTCCCCATTCCAGGCAGCAACTCCTCCAGCCTGATCCCACAGTGCAGGACCCAGAAACAGCATCCCCTTCCCACCCAATATGGCACTTCCTCATGCAGTACCCACACCCACCATCCTCCACCTCCCATACAGCTGCATGTGGGGATGGATGGAGCATCCACATCAACTGCCCACCATCTCAGCTCCAGCTCCATCCATCCCTACATACAGCATCTACATCAACTGCCCACCTTCTCAGCTCCCCACACAGTGCCCATACTTAGCATCCCCTCCAGCTCATGTCCTGCGGCTACTATACATAGTTCATGAATCAATCTAATCCTCAGTAAAAGGCAGAGGCTCTCTCTTCTTTATGGAGGCCCCAGAGTCCCCATCTGTCCCTTTGGGGTGTGTCTAGGGCACCCAGGTCAGGAGTGTCTGAGCACCAGTCTCAGTATCTCAGTCCACGGAGAAAGCTGACGCACTGTGCTACCATTGCCCCATGCAGCCCATCACCAAGAGTCCTGGTAGAAGAAAAGTAGTGGGTGCGTTACCTGTATGACAGGGTGTAGCCTGGCCTGCTCTGACTGATTCGAACCAGGAAGCAGCCCAGAGGCTTGTCCATCAGCAAGTTCTCAGCTTCCCTGAAAGCAAAGAGGAAAGATTTTAATCCGAGAGTCAGCAATAAAACCCTGTGCTCTCCCTGTTCTGGAGCCCCCATCCCTTTTTCACATCCTGGTAACACTCCCTCTATGGTGCAGCCAGCATCACTCTCATGCTGTCCGCTTCACTTCAGGCACACTGTGACACTAAGTACCATTCCCAGACCTGAGGAAGAGCTCTGTGTAGCTTGAAAGCTTGTCTCTATCACCAACAGAAGTTGGTCCAATAAAAGATCTCTCACCCACAATGTCTCTGAGACAAGACAGTCAGGGAATACAGTGTGGGCTTTTGGAGGAAACTGGTTGCTCTCTCCTGGGACTGACAAAGGAGTCAGAGAGATAGAGCTGAAATAGCTGGTGAATTGCTCTGGATTGACCATAATGGACCATGTTTTAACCTTTATTTCTGTATGCTAATATAAGGACTTCCAATGCTGTGTTCCAGTTGACTAATACATCCTCCTCTGTTTTGAAAAGACTGTTTGGTGTCACTTCAAGCACTTGCTTGTGTGCATTAGTCCCTGAAGAGTGTCCAAGTTGTTATCAGGAGTCTGTTTCAATTGGGTTTGCTGAACAGAGCTCACAGCGTTAAACCGAGGCTCAGTCTAGGAGGCAGTGAAGCTGCAGAGGCTAGCCTGAAGGGAGGGTGGGACTCCTTGGGGGTCTGGCACACTGAAGGGGACTGCTTAAAGGCTGGGCTATAGCAAAGATCCTGTGGATCTGTGACAACAGTATTGTCGTATTGAACTCCACACACAGAGTTAAAATCACCTCCCTACTCCTGTCTCTACACATCCCAGGATCCCTTTTAGCCACAGCATCACATTGGGAGCTCATGTTCAATTGCTGGTGCCCTATGACCTCTAAATCCTTTACAGAGTCACTGCTTCCCAGGACACAGTCCCTCATTCTGTAGGTACAGCCTGCATTCCTTGATCCTAGATGTATAACTTTGCATTTAATTATATTAAAATTAGGATTGTTAAGCGATTAAAAAAATGAATCACAATTAATTGTGCAATTAATCACGCAGTTAAACAATAATAGAATATCATTTATTTAAATATTTTTGGATGTTTTCTACATTTTCAAATATAATTGATGTCAGTTACAACACAGAATACAAAGTGTACAGTGCTCACTTCATATTTATTGTTTATTACAAATATTTGCAATGTAACAAACAAGAGAAATAGTATTTTTCAATTCACCAAATACAAGTACTGTTGTGCAATCTCTTTATCATGAAAGTTGAACTTACAAATATAGAATTATGTACAAAAAAAACCCTGCATTCAAAAATAAAACAATGTAAAACTTTAGAGCCTACAAGTCCAATCAGTCTCACTTCTTGTTCAGCCAATCACTCAGACAAACATGATTGTTTACATTTGCAGGAGATAATGCTGCCTGCTTCTTGTTTTCAATGTCACCTAAAAGTGAGAAAAGGCATTCGCATAGCACTGTTGTAGCTGGCGTCACAAGATATTTACATGCCGGATGTACTAAAGATTCATATGTCCATTGATGCTTCAACCATCATTCCATAGGGCATGCGTCCATGCTGATGATGGGTTCTGCTCGATAATGATCCAGAGCAGTGTGGACCGACACATGTTCATTTTCATCATCTGGGTCAGATGCCACCAGCAAAAGGCTGATTTTCTTTTTTGGTGGTTTGGGTTCTGTAGTTTCCGCATCAGAGTGTTGCTCTTTTAAGACTTCTGAAAGCATGTTCCACACTTCGTCCCTCTCAGATTTTGGAAGGCACTTCAGATTCTTAAATCTTGGGTCGAGGACTGTAACTATCTTTAGAAATTTCACATTTGTATCTTCTTTGCATTTTGTCAAATTTGCAATGAAAGTGTTCTTAAAACGAACATGTGCTGGGTCATCATCCGTCTCTGCTATAACATGAATTATATGGCAGAATGCAGGTAAAACAGAGCAGTAGACATACAATTCTCTCCTAAGGAGTTCAGTCACAAATTTAATTAACGCATTATTTTTTTAATGAGCGTCATTATTGTGGACACATGTCCTCTGGAATGATGGCTGAAGCATGAAGAGGCATATGAATCTTTAGCGCATCTGGCACATAAATATCTTGCGATGCCAGCTACAACAGTGCCATGGAAATGCCTGTTCTCATTTTCAGATGACACTGTAATTAAGAAGTGGGCAGCGTTATCTCCCATAAATGTAAACTTTTTAGCGTTTGGCTGAACAAGAAGTAGGACTGAGTGGACTTGTAGGCTCTAAAGTTTTACATTGTTTCGTTTTTGAGTGCAGTTATGTAACAAAAAAAAAAACCTACATTTGAAAGTTGCACTTTCATGATAAAGAGATTGCTCTACAGAACTTGTATGAGATGAATTAAAAATACTATTTCTTTTGTTTATCATATTTACAGTGCAAATATTTGTAATAAAAAATAATATAAAGTGAGCACTGGACATTTTGTATTCTGTGCTGTAATTGAAATCGATATATTTGAAAATGTAGAAAATCATCCAAAAATATTTAATACATTTCAATTAGTATTCTATTGTTGAACAGTGCGATTAATCACGATTAATTTTTTCAATCACGATTAATTTTTTTGAGTTAATCGCGTGAGTTAATTACGATTGACAGCCCTAATTAGAACACTTTTATTCTAAATGGGCCCAGCTTACCAAGCAGTACAAATCTACATGGCTGTCCTGTCCTCATCAACATTTACCATTCATCAATCTTTGGGATAAAAATCAGATAAAAACCTTCAGTTGCTGTCACCCTGGATTGGAACTAGTGACCTAGAAGTAAAAGGCCCTGTACCCCACTCCCAGCTCCATAAATCAGCCAATCCCCCTGACGGGTCTGGATGGGAATCAGTGCTCTAGAGTGGAAAGGCCATGTGTCCTATTCCCAGCTACCCAAGAAACCAGTCCATGCTATCTCCAGGGACCCCAACCCCCACTCTCATACAGACTCTCCCTAAGGACATGCCAGTCTCTGCCTGCACAGCCCAGCCCCCTTGGTATGCTGCAAGCCCCTAGGGTTCTCACCTCCTGCTGATCATCCCATGCAGCCAGCCAGGAAAGGCCCCATCATCCTGCATAACCTTCCAGGCCTGTGTCTCTCTGAACCAGCGGAGAGTTGCTCCCCTCTTGATTTGCCTCATTTCTTCCTCTTCTCCTGTCTGCCCCTTTGTCCCCAGCACAGGGCAGGGCCTGGAGCGCAAAAAATTATCAAAGGGAGTCGACTGAAAACAGGAAAGAGAGAGAAAAAAGGAAGGTGGGTGTGAGAGTGATAGATTCCTAGGCCAGAAGGGACTACTGTGATCATCTAGTCTGCGCTCCTGTATAACACAGGCCACATACCTCTCTCAAAATAATTCATAGAGCATAACTTCTGGCCGCCACTTCCCACAGCTCCCATTGGCCGGGAACAGTGAACCGCAGCTGCTGGGAGTTACGGGGGCCATGCCTGTGGACGGTCAACGTAAACAAAATGTCTCACGGCCCACCAGCGGATTACCCTGATGGGCCACGTGCCGAAGGTCTAGCTTCAACTTCCAGCCACTGGATCAGTCTGCTAGACTGAAGAGCCCATTATTAAATATTTGTTTCCTGTGTAGATACTTCTAGGCTAATCAAGTCAACCCTTCACCTTCTCTGTGTTAAGCTAAGTAGATTGACCTCCTTGAGTCTATCACTATAAGGCGAGTTTTCTATTCTCATGGTTCTTCTCTGAACCCTTCTCTAATTTATCAATCTCCTTCTTGAATGGTGAGCACCCAGAACTGGACACAGGATCCCAGCAGACGTTGCACAAGTGCCAAATAGAAAGATAAATAAACCTCTCTACTCCTACTTGAGACTCCCCTGTTTATGTATCCAAGCACCCACTTGATGATGATTCTGTTTACCATTACATTTTGTGTTAGCCAGTTTTTAACCTATTTAATGTGTGCCATGTTAATTTTATATCCTCCTAGTTTTTTTAAATCAAAATGTTGTGAAATATCAAGTCAAACGCACTGCAGAAATTTACATGTATTACATCAATACTAGTAGCTTTATCAAATAAACTTATAATCTCATCTAAGAAGATACCAGGTTAGTTTGACCGGATCTATTTTCCATAAACCCATGTTGATTTGCATTAATTGCATTACCCTCCTTTAATTATTTATTAATCGAGTCCTGGGGCACTGCATCCGAGGGTGCTAAAGGAGTTGACGGATGTGATTGCAGAGCCATTGGCCATTATCTTTGAAAACTCATGGCAATCGGGGGAGGTCCCGGATGACTGGAAAAAGGCTAATGTAGTGCCCATCTTTAAAAAAGGGAAGGAGGAAGATCTGGGGAACTACAGGCCAGTCAGCCTCACCTCAGTCCCTGGAAAAATCATAGAGCAGGTCCTCAAGGAATCAATTTTAAAGCACTTAGAGGAGAGGAAAGTGATCAGGAACAGTCAGCACGGATTCACCAAGGGCAAGTCATGCCTGACTAACCTAATTGCCTTCTATGATGAGATAACTGGCTCTGTGGATGAGCGGAAAGCAGTGGACATGTTATTCCTTGACTTTAGCAAAGCTTTTGATACGCCAGCAAGTTAAAGAAGTATGGGATGGATGAATGGACTATAAGGTGGATAGAAAGCTGGCTAGATCGTCAGGCTCAACGGGTAGTTATCAATGGCTCCATGTCTAGTTGGCAGCCGGTATCAAGCGGAGTGCCCCAAGGGTAGGTCCTGGGGCCGATTTTGTTCAATATCTTCATTAATGACCTGGAGGATGGCATGGACTGCACCCTCAGCAAGTTTGCAGGTGACACTAAACTGGGAGGAGTGGTAGATACGCTGGAAGGTTGGGATAGGATACAGGGGGACCTAGACAAATTAGAGGATTGGGCCAAAAGAAATCTGATGAGGTTCAACAAGGACAAGTGCAGAGTCCTGCACTTAGGACGGAAGAATCCCATGCACTGCTACAGACTAGGGACCAAATGGCTAGGCAGCAGTTCTGCAGAAAAGGACCTAGGGGTTACAGTGGACGAGAAGCTGAATATGAGTCGACAGTGTGCCCTTGTTGCCAAGAAGGCTAACGGGATTTTGGACTGTATAAGGAGGAGCATTCCAGCAGATCGAGGGACGTGATCATTCCCCTTTATTCGACATTGGTGAGGCCTCATCTGGAGTAGTGTGTCCAGTTTTGGGTCCCACACTACAAGAAGGATGTGGAAAAATTGGAAAGAGTCCAGCGGAGGGCAACAAAAATGATTAGGGGGCTGGAGCACATGACTTATGAGGAGAGGCTGAGGGAACTGGGATTGTTTAGTCTGCAGAAGAGAAGAATGAAGGGGGATTTGATAGCTGCTTTCAACTACCTGAAAGGGGGTTCCAAAGAGGATGGATCTAGACTGTTCTCAGTGGTAGCAAATGACCGAACAAGGAGTAATGGTCTCAAGTTGCAGTGGGGGAGGTTTAGGTTGGCTATTAGGAAAAACTTTTTCACTAGGAGGGTGGTGAAGCACTGGAATGGGTTACCTAGGGAGGTGGAGGAATCGCCTTCTGTCATAGACATACAGCTAAGGGTAACATAAAATCCCTCCTTTACCTGTAAGGGGTTAAGAAGCTCAAATAACCTGGTTGGCACCTAACCAAAAGGACCAATAATGGAAGAAGATATTTTCAAATCTGTGGGGGGAGGTTTTGTTTTGTGCTCTCTTTTGTTGTTCTCTCTGGGACAGAGAGGGACCAGGGCAGGAAAAACCATCTCCTAAAACCCTACCTGAAATAAGCATCCAAGGGTATGTCTACTCTACAGGATTAATCCGAATTTAGATAATTCGAATTTGGGAAACAGATTGTATAAATTCGATTGTGCGCGGCCACACTAAGCACATTAATTCGGTTTTTAACCACATTAATTCGGTGGTGTGCGGCCACACTACCCCATTAATTTTAACCACATTAATTCAGTGGTGTGCGGCCACACTAACCCTAATTCGAATTAACAAAATCGATTTTGGCGCTACTCCGCTCGTCGAGGTGGAGTACAGAAATCGATTTAAAGCGCCCTTTAATTCGAACTAAATGGCTCTGTTGTGTGGACGGGTGAAGGGTTAATTCGAATTAACGCTGCTAAATCCGAATTAATCCCGTAGTGTAGACCAGGCCCAAGAGTACAAAAATTGTAAGTAATAGCAAGGAAATGCGTTAGCTTATCTTTTGTTTTAGCTTGTGAATTTTCCCTGTGCTAAGAGGGAGGTTTATTCCTGTTTTTTGTAACTTTGAAGTTTTGCTTAGAGGGGAATCCTCTGTGTTTTACATCTTATTACCCTGTAAAATTACCTTCCATCCTGATTTTACAGAGGTGCTTCTTTTACTTTTTTTCTTTATAATAAAGTTCTGCTTTTAAGAACCAGATTGGTTTTTAGTTTCCTAAAAACTCAAGGGTCTGGTCTGTGCTAACCTTGTTTACCTATTTGGTTAGTATATTATTCTCAAGCCTCCCCAGGAAAGGGGGTGAAGGGGCTTGGGGGGATTTTTTGGGAAAACAGGAACTCCAAGTAGTCCTTTTCCTGAATCTTTGTCTAACTCACTTGGTGGTGGCAGTGATACCGTCCAAGGACAAGGAAGAATTTGTGCCTTGGGGAAGTTTTAACCTAAGCTGGTAGAAATAAGCTAAGGGGGTCTTTCATGCAGGTCCCCACATCTGTACCCTACGTTCAGAGTGGGGAGGGAACCCTGACACCTTCCTTAGAGCTTTTTAAGCCCTGGCTGGGACGATTTAGTTTGGGATTGGTCCTGCTTTGAGCAGGGGGTTGGACTAGATGACCTCCTGAGGTCCCTTCCAACCCTGATAGTCTATGATTCTGTCTCAGTTGCTTCATTATCTTGTCCAAGATCGATGTCAGATTGACGAGCCTATGATTACTCGTGTCATCCCATTTACCCTTTTTACAAACTGGTACAACACTAGCTTCCTTCCAGTCTCCTGGAACTTCCTCAGTGCTCCAAGACTTATCGAAAATTAACAGTGGAGGCAGCAGCAAGAGGTGGGGGACACTTACAGTAAGCTCCTTTGAAGATATCACAGACGATCTCACTCAAGTCTGCGCCCTAGGGGAGACCAGACAGGAACCTCATCCAACTTTCACTTTCAGTTCTCCCAAGACCAAGCCCTGCCCAAGGTTTTACCAGGATTGGTTTATTTAAACTCACAATATTGGGCATGAACTCCTCTTTATTCCTGGTTACATGGATGAGGAGCGTGGTTCTCCCTGGATCACATGTACGGGATGTGCAGATGGGAGGGCTCAAGATCACATGTTGGGATGTCCCTGGGTATCTGACCCTAGGCAAAGCCAACATTATTACCTCTGTGAGTTTGCTGCGAGGGCGTGGTACTGGTGGCTGTGTCAGAGAATCAGCTCCAGGCTGAGAACGTGGGAGGGGCTGAGGACGTCTCCTCCGTGGCACAGGGACTGGCGAGGCAACTATTCATGCAGTGAGAGGAGGGAACAAATGGCATTAGGAACCCCCAGAGAATGATTCATCCCACCCAGGAATGGAGCATGTGGGTACAATACCATCACACCCAAAGGTACCATGGGGAAAGTTCTGCCTCTCCAGTAGGCAGCATGGCAGCTGCAAGACAAGGGACTCCCAGGAACATCAATCCATGGAGCTTGGAACTTTCCCATCCCACCTGAGCCTTGCTATGGAGCATGGAAAGGAGTGAGAAGGGGTAGGGTCCCTGCTCTGCTGCCACCTCCTGCTCCATGCTCTAAGGAAAAAAATCCAGCTCTGAGTGGGTGATGGCATGAAGCCATCCCCTGCTGCATTAGCAGAAGAGGCTGGGTGAGGCCAGGGTGCCTTTCCCATCCCAGCCCAAGGCACGTGGGATTTCACAGCTCAGTTCCCAGCCTCTATGGGAAAGAGCCTCCATTTCCAAGTGGAGATGGGGCCTGTCCTGAGGCAAATGCTGGAGGAGAGTTTCACAGAGGCAGGTGTATCGTCCCCTCTAACTACCCACCACTCAGGTGTGGCATAGAAGAGAGTGTGGTCTGAGGGGTCAGCTACAACTAGGGAATAAGGCAGTCAGACCCAGTAGGGTCTGTGGTGGCTGGACACAGCCACTAAGGGCCCGTCTTCACTACCCGCCGGACCGGCGGGTAGCAATCGATCTATTGGGGATCGACTTATCGCGTCTAGTGAAGACGCGATAAAATCGATCCCTGATCGCTCTGCTGTCGACTCCGGAAATCCACCATGGCAAGAGGCGGAAGCGGAGTCGACGGCGGCGCGGCTGCCGTCGACTCGCCGCCGTCCTCACAGCCAGGTAAGTTGACCTAAAATACACAACTTCAGCTACGCTATTCACGTAGCTGAAGTTGCGTATCTTAGGTCGACCCCCCACCCCCCGTAGTGTAGACCTAGCCTAAGTGAGCATCCAGGGATTTGGGGCACGGAGGTATTGATGGAAGGAGGTGGTGTCAGTGACTTACTCTGGGCCTGGGACTCCAGTTCCAGTTGCCTGTTGCTCTCTCTCTCTGCTTCCTCCTGCAGGCGCTTCTCTCGGGCTCTGAGCTCAACCACCAGCTCCTGGTAAATCTTCCTACAGCAGAATCTCTTGTAAGCTGCTCAGAGAGAAGCTACAGTTAGAGCAGAGACTCCACTGGAACAGCAAGGAACAAGGGCCGGGCAAGAGCAGCATCCTGTAGTACCTGTGTGTCCAATACAGAGTCATACCAGAGAGACTGTGCAGAGAGAAGGCTCTACCATGTCTCTCACCAGCGCACCTATTGCTCATGATCCCATTGTTCTGCCAGGGACAGCAGCCAGGCTAGTAGGGCAGTGGTCACCTGGATCATACGCTACTGTCCTTCCCTGAGAGGATAATGACATTTTCTGGTCTGCCCTTCTGCTTGCGCTTCTCTCCAGCTTCCCATGACTTCTTACAATTCATCCCATCATTATAAGAAGCTCATTAACCACTTCCCTGGACATCCACTTTACAGCAAGACCAGCAAGCTTGCACCTGCTCTGCTCTCCCACATATGCCCCTTCCTGTCCACACTACCCGCCTGATTCGGCGGGTAGAGATTGATCTTCTGGGATCGATTTATCACGTCTCATCTGGACGCGATAAATTGATCCCAGAAGCACTCCCCCGTCGACTGCGGAACTCCTGCTCGCCGAGAGGAGGAAGCGCTGTCGACGGGGGAGCTTGCCTGCACCGTGTGGACCCGCAGTAAGTAAACTTAGTTCGATCTAGGAAACGTCGACTTCAGCTACGCTATTCTCGTAGCTGAAGTTGCGTTTCCTAGATCGATCCCCCGCCCCAGTGTGGACCAGCCCTTAGACTGCTTTCCTGCTTGCTGAAGACTCTGAGAAGGAGTTGAGCGTTTGTTGTTCACACCACGAACACAAAGGGTTTGAGGTGCCGTAGAGATGGAGCCTGATCAGGTTTTTCTGTCTCCACTGCCCTGGAATGCTATCAAGGGATCTTCTGGGATGAGAGAGGGGTTGGGGAAGGACTCCCGCCTGTGCTCCTTGCCCTGATATGCTCTCTGCGTTGGAGGAGACCCTCCTGCCCCAATACTCACTCTTCTGGATGATTACTGCTGCCTTTTCCAAGCGGTCCATGCTCTTTGCCAGCAGCTCCTGGTGCCAGTACTTAAAAAAGAGGCGGGACTTCCTGTGGGGATGGGAGAGAATGCCAAGGCAATAGTAAGATATAGGACTCATTTCAGACCCCATCCCATCACTAGAACAGGCCCCTGGTACATAAAGGTGGCAGTTATTGCAGAGAGCTAGTTCCCACTCCACACACGCGCACAATACAGCTCAGACCCATCATGCTCAGTCCAGACCCATGTGCAGCAGCCCACACCTACCCACATCTCCAGCCTTTCAGCTCTGTACTCCGCAAAATCTCCAAGCAGCTAAGAAAGGAGGAGAAAAAAAAATTAGTCAAAAGTCCCCTTCTACTTAGTGCAGCCAGAGACAGGCAACCCTTTGTACTGCATTGCACCCCTTGTGAAAGCTGGCTCCCAAATGGTAGATCTCACAGAATCACAGCTGGTGCAGGGATTATGGTGGGGCTTGTTAGCAAACGCATACCCAGCCCTTGCCTCAGGAGGGTGATTCCCCCAGTGACTAGGCTCCTGGCCCTTCCTCCTGGGGGAGATTCCCACAGATAAAGATCTCATTGTCAGAAGTTTTTTCCTTGTTGAATTTCCTAGTTCTGAGAAGTTCTCAAATCCCAGTGGATAAGTGCAGAACATGAATCCGGGTAGAGCACAACTACACATTATACGATCAAAAGGCTAGTCTACACTAAAATCGCTAGGGCGGTGCAGCTGTGCCGATGCACTGCACTGTTGTAGCGTGCTAGTGCAGACACTCTATGCCATTGATCAATATAACTTACATCATTCAGGGGGGTGGGTTTCCACACCCTTGAGCAACTTAAGTTATACCGAAGTAAGCATTAGTGTTTACAAGCCCTCAGTTTCCTCTAACTACACCTAGTTACATTCCTTGAACACCCTTAAATAATCTCTCCCTCTGTGGCAGTTACACTCTTCATACATTTGTATCTGAATGGATTACTCCAGATATGGCATAGAGAAGAGCTCTTCCCTTCCCGCTCTGCAAATGCTGCCACTAAAGTCACATAGATGCTCCTTGCTGCCATTTTGCAGGGCAAACTTACGTCCGAGGCGAAAGAGCTGGTTCCATACCAGTTTAGACCATGGTCCAGCTTGCCCAGTATTTGGCCCATACCAAAGCTTCATGGGGAGTGTACTGAACAAGTCATTTATGGAGTGATCCACCCCTGCATTCCACTCCCAGCTTCTAGTAGTCAGAGGTTGCTCTGAGCATGGGGCTGCATCCCTAATCATCTTGTCTAATATAGCATTTCATGGACCTAACCCCCATGAACTTATCCAGTTCTTTTTTTAACCCGGTTATACTTTTGGTCATCACAACATTCCATGACAATGAGTTCCACAGGTTACCTGTGCACTGTGTGAAAAAGGACTTCCTCTTTTTTGTATTAAACCTGCCCTCTATTAATTTAATTGGTGACCCGTTTTTTGTATTGTGTTAAAGGGTAAATAACCTTTCTCTAGTCATTTTTTCCACTCATTCATGACTTTATAGACGTCTATTGTATCTCCCCTTAGTCGTCTCTTTTCTACGTTGAACGATCTAATATTTTAGATCCTTGTATGGAAGCTGCTCCATACCCTTGATCATCTTTGTTGCCCTTCTCTGAACCTTTTCGAGATGGGGAAACCAGAACTGGACACAGTAAGACAGGTGTGGGCACATCATAGATTTATGTAGAGGCATGAGGATATTTTCTGTCCCTTTCCTAATAGTTCCTAACATACTGTTAAGCATTTTGACCCCTGCTGCTACACACAGTGCAGAAGTTTTCTGAGAACTATCCACAGTGCCTCCAAGATCTCTTTCTTCAGTGGTAACAGCTAATTTTAAATCCATCATTGTGTAAGTATAGTTGGGATTATTTTTTCCAATGTAGATTACTTTGCACTTATCAATGTTGAATTTCATCTGCCATTTTGTTGTCCAGTCACCAACTTTTATGGGATTCCTCTGTAACTCATTGCAGTCAGCTTTGGACTTAGCTACTTTGAGTAATTTTGTATCAGCTGCAAACTTTGCCACTTCACTGTTCACCCCCTTTTCCAGATCATTAATGAATATGTACCTCTCCTCAGTCTCTCCCAGCCAGTGCCTGCTGTGTAAACATCTATCTTTTAGGTTACTTCTCTCTCACATGCAGTAATGTGCGTGTTTCTAGGTGGAAACATGCTGTATTACCTGCCCATCTCCCCCTCTAGAGCCTTTGTATCATCTCTATCCTCACTTGAGTTTGCAATTCCTCTAGGGTTACCATATTTCAACAATCCAAAAAGAGGACAGGGGGTGCCGCCCTAGCCCC